AGCAGGTTGGGGGCAGGGTGGAATGGGACCATGTAGGTTTGGACACCACCAACTCCAGCTGCCAGGTACTCTGTGACTAGCTATAAAGGGGACTTCTCTTCCTCCTAGCACTAGTTGGTGTGGTTATACACAGAAATCTAAGTTGAGAAATACTACTGCTGGCCAACACCAGACTATCCACTTCAGATGTTTAATGCTTTCCCCTAACTGTTCTGAATTTATAAATTTTGTCAGCAAAGCATAGTGCTTATGTGAAAGACTGCTACTGTTAAAACAGTGCTTCATGCTATTAACTATTATTTTACTTGTGACTTTTTTATGAAGTTTGTATCTTGTAAATTTGTATGAAGAATATTAAATATTTTCAGTTTCATTTCATCCACTACCCTACTGCAAATAATTACTTTAAATTTGCAGACTCAAATCAGTTTATTGAACTTAACCTTTTTGTGGAGTACAGTTGCTAAATGAATGTTGAATAGCTGAGTTTATTTCAAATAGGAACTACTGATCTTATTTTTAGGTTAGTATTTAGATCTCTAATTTAGAGCTGTATTTCGATCATTAGATCTGTTTTCTGTTGATGATGTTTGTCTATATCCAGTAGGTGACACTAAGGACTGTGGGAGTGTTGAACATGCAAGCAGGCTATATAAAATCAAGACATCAAGGATGAAATACATACTTATGCTTTCTGTCTAATCTCTCTTGTCCTGAACTGTCTTTGAAATTGCCTGTAAGGTTCATCATATTTGATACTTAGCCCTCCCAAAGGTGCTAAGTAGCTACAATTTTAAAGTTAGCTGTCCAGGTAAATAGTAAGTAGAACCCCAATAAGTTAGTGCCTCTCTGGGGAAGATGAAGTAGTGGAAATATCACAGCTTCTACCTTCGTTTACCAACTTCCAGGGCAATAATTTTGTGCAGTTCTTGCTTGTTAGAGCATGTACTTCCTATGAAGGTCATGGGGGACAGTGTTGAAAACCTGGCAGTATTGCAAGAATAGAGGGCAACATTTGTAGGAGCATGTGCATCATAAAAACAGCTTTTTTTACTTCAGTGAAAAAAAACTGTTCTAAAGCACTAAAGGCTGTTTTTAAAGGGTAGCTAATGTTTGGTATAATGTTAGTATGCATACTGGGATTACTTGCAGTGTAGTCTTATGTGCTTAAAGAAAACATAAATGGGACAACTCTTGTGTCTTGTTTAGTTTTGAGAACTCATTTTTCCTCTTGTTTTGGTAAGGAATTGAAGCTGAATATACTGACAATTTTGCAGTTGGTTCAACTTCAGCTCACTCACAACTACAATTAGAAAGTTAAAGCAGAGCAATAATGGTTTCCCCCTTCTCTCATACCCTTACTCTTATTAAATGTATATGATATCATAGAAACTGAATCATCATAAGAAGGGCTGTTTAAAATTTAAAAAAAGTTCCTATACCCAAATAGTAATTGTAAGTATAAATACTAAACCTTAAATCCTTTAAAAGCTACCATCTGGGGCTTGTGGCATATGGAATCTGTTGAAACAGTTTAAACCCTGAAGTACAGGTAAGGGAATGTGTAGAATTAGATTAAGAAGAAGACCGTTCAAGGTCAGGAGAAGACTCTTAAGATTAGAAGTAGAATTTGGTTCCTTTGCCCCTTCATGAGTACATACTAGAAATATTTTGTAAAAACAGTACTTTATAGTGATACTGGATGCAAGGATTTGCTTGCCCTGCTGTGACAGATGGTCTTTCAACTTGAAGTATTTAAACCAGTACATGGTGTACCAATCGGTTGTTAAAACAGCTCAGTCTGAAAGAAAGTGTGCAGCTACACACTTCTTAGTGGTTGGATGTATTAACAATTGTAAACTTAAGAGATTTTGAATTAACATATTTCCTCTGATTAAACTGTTGTCTTTTTTTTCTTTTAATAAGGTGTGCAAACAGATTTGGCTAGGCCTGTTTGATGATAGATCATCAGCAATTCCAGACTTCAGGGATCCACAGAAAGTAAAGGAATTTCTACAGGAAAAATATGAAAAGAAAAGATGGTAAGACAGCTTTACAATTGTAAAGATTGCCTCTTTGACAAGTGAAGATGGACTGTTATCCTCATGTTCTTTAGTGTGCTTTCCTTCTTGTGTGCTCTTTGGACTAGACTGCACAGCTCTGAAGTGAAACAATTTCTGAACTTTTTTCAGACCAGGAAGCAGAGAAGATAGACAATTTAAAGAAGTTTCTCAATGTGTAGTTCATATTGATGGAACAGAAATGGCTTAAGGTGATGTCAACAATAGTGTAAATAAGGGTTTGGCGTGCTTTTATTAGGATGTGGAAGACACGTGTGGTTTGTATTTAATAAGTGTTATAAACTTGATGAACTGAAATTGTAGTCTTAAAAAAAAGTGTATTTAAATAATGGATATTTTGCAAACTACTGATAGAATTTGTTGCAGAGTCAGTGGTTAGAATAGCAAATTTGAGACCTACCACCTCACTTGAGCCTCATGAAAGTTGAACAGAACTTTTCATGCTGAACTTGTAAAAAAACATTTCTCTTTTTGGATGTAGGTATGTTCCTCCAGAGCAAGCAAAAGTGGTGGCATCAGTCCATGCATCCATATCGGGGTCTTCTGCTAGTAGTACAAGCAGCACGCCTGAGGTGAAACCACTCAAATCTCTCTTGGGAGAAGCTGCACCCGCACTGCACTTAAACAAGGGCACACCTAGCCAAGTGAGTAATGGCAGAGCTGAAGGGCACAGGGCTGTTCAGGAGTACTTTTTGAGTGGCACAAGAATTCTTGCAATAGCAACTGTTGCATAATAATATGATTGCTGAAGACAACTGAATGTATTTTGCTGAAGTATTCAGCTTTTTACAGATCAGGTTCTAAATTAAGCTTGTTTCTATTGACCATATTGATTTTTCTTTTAAATGTTTTTTTTTCAGTTAGCAGAAATTTCCAGTGTGATTAACAAGTTTAAATATTATTTTGCATAAATATCTCTAAAGTTTGAACCTAATGGGATGTATTTTTTACTTTGTTTTTTTAATTTGAAAACAATAAACTGGCTGATACCATTAACCATGAGATTAGTAATATATATGTGGATGAAGAGCACACATGTTCATTATTGCTGCCTGTTAGTAACTGTCTTTACCAAGTGGCTCTCAGGGAGGGTCTGTGTGCTGTTAGGTAAAGCCAAACAATGCCATGTTCTTAGAATCTGGAGGGAAGACAGTTATATTTAAAAAAACCTAAAACTGTTTTACCTTTGGGGTACAGACAACTCTTGAATGGACCTCTTAAGACACAACCAGCAGAAATTTGTACCTGGCAGCCTGACTATGTTATTTTTTTGAGTTTTGTTTCCCTATACTGAATTCCAAATACTTTCTCAAAATGCAGTGATTACAATTTCACAAGTTGGAAAATAGTTGACTTTTATTACTTGCATTTATGCAGTATTTGAAACTTGAAATACATATTTTTCAACTTGCTTATATACTGCTGTTTTATTCTGCTAGGCCTTATTACACTGTGGGAATCTGCTGCAGAGTTCCTTTAAAAGCCACCATAGTAACATAGGCTTCCTCATACTGTAGAAGGAGGGTCTGTGCTGTATACAACATATTAAACTTAAGGACTAAAGGGTTTGTTCAAGAAATATGCTTAGTGTATGCTTCTAGTATTTTGCAAAAGTCAGTTTGGTAAAACAGGGGATTTTATTAGCTAATTGAAACGTTGTGTGTAGTCTCCTGTTGTAGTTCGATCTCAAGGACAGCAGCAACAAGAAAAGAAACAATTTGACCTCCTCAGTGACCTTGGCTCAGATATCTTTGCTGCTGCTCCTCCTCAGTCAACTGCTCCGGCAAATTTTGCTAACTTTGCACACTTCAACAGTCATACAGGTAAGTATTCTGAGCAGTGTATCTCTTTTAAATGTATGGAATATCATTCTAAGTTTTTACTAGTCTAAACTTCATGAAGTATATATAATTTCTGTGCCTTGAATGTTATATTGCTCAAGATTTCCTTTAGATCTTCATAAAGAAAGGTTGAAGACATAAAGGCTGAAAATCCTGTTTCTTGAAGTGGGAGTTGCTAAAGCACTTTTCTATGATATGTATGATTAGACTATTGCTGCCTACTACTAAACTTTGAGTTCTTTGAGGGAGACTGAAGAGGATGAGTAACATAATGTTGCTATTAGACCTTCAATTTTAATTCTGAAAATTATTGGGAAGAGCATTCATGGAAAGAAAGCAGATAGAGACTTTAGGGGAGTTCACATGCATTGAAAATAACTGCCAATTTGTTAAGAGAAAAACAAAGGCTTCCTCAGTTTAAAGAATGACCTCCTCTTTTGTGTGTGTGTCTATTTGAAAACTGAATACTACCCATGTGGGTAGTGTTCTGCAGTTTCTGAAAGAAGCCGTAAACTTTGAGCATATGTCTTGACTGAAGATGGGGTTAGGCCTTGAATTCTTAAAGAATGACTTCAGTAAAATATATTGAGCCCTCAGGGTTTATTTTCAGCCGAAGATCTTGAGCTGTAGAAGTCTATCCTAAAGAAAAAGTTGATTCTGTGGTCACTGAAGTATGCTGTTGCTAACTTGCATTGTAATTGTGGGAAAGTACCTTTGCCTGCCTTGTCTGAATGGGCTTTTCATCTGGTTTTTCTGAGAGAAACAGTGATGCTGCTTAGCCAGCAAGAATAAGAGATAATCTTCTAAATTGGTTCTGAAATTGCTAATAATGGAGAGGAAGCTTGATGGAGGAGACTTAAAGCACACCCAAGGAACTGAACAAAATATCAAGGATGTATCAAAGTTTAAAACAATGGGGAAGTAATTGACTGAATTCAGTAACATAGAATAAGAATTGTTGCAGTGTATTTTGTAAAATCCTTAACATAAGATTTCATATTCATCATCTCTCTGGAGGTATGTTTAACTGGGAGAACTTGTGCTGACTAGCTGATGTCATACAGTGTTACTGAAGAGGCTGCAGATATTTCTTTCTTGTAACGTATTCTTTCTAAACTTGTTGCTGAATTATTTTATATTTTTATACACTTAATCACTCTTTGTGGGTTTTAGGGGATAAAACTGCATGAAAGCAGTATTTCTGTACTGTGCTTCAAATCTTGGTAAAATTCCATTGCATCTCTGCTGGGTAATTTTTAAAAGGATAAAAAGCAGTATGAACACTCCAGAATAAATATAGTCTTATGAAAGAGCCTGTTAATTTGTTTGAAATGTGTAATTGCTGAAAATCAAAATTGAGAGGAATACTCAGCTGCACTAGCTAGTTTTCTGGTCCTGTAATTAACCATTGTGGTCATTCCCATAACTCTTTTCCGTAAGTTTTAGAACCCAGAAGAGTTTTAGGGCTGGTAAATCAGTTTCTAAAAGACAAATCTAATCCTTTTTCCTTAGTTGTCTAATGTACGAGGCTGGCTCAGGACATAGTTGTATGGTGAAGGGGAAACATGCTGATCTTATGTTTACTGGTTGTATTTAATTTACAAAGTTTTATAACATGCAAAATGAGATTTTAAAGATGATGCTAGATAACTGTTCTCTGTCGGTAGTTTACAGATTGGTAATAATGACCAAAAAAATTTTTTTTTGCGTGTAGACTTCCTGTAGGAAGTCTAATGGAATATAAGACCTGCACAAAAAATCCTAAAAATATGTAGTGACACAGGGCAACTCAATCATGGGTAACAAGGAAGAAGAGGCTTTACTCAGAAGAAATACCATAGTGCAACATAGTTATTGTCTTCTATAGCTTTATTTTCCATTTTGTAATTGAATACATGTGGACTGTATTTTAGCTGGTGTTTTTTGTTTCTTGCAGTGTTTCATACCTTAATTCCACACTAGGCAGTGCAAACCTCGCAGAAGAAACTATGCAAAGATTGTAGGGCCAGCTTGCATTGCTGTGATTGGTACTGTCATACTTGGGGAAGTTTTAGCAAGCTAGATTTTATACTGCCTCACTGATCTGCAGTCCCAACAGCAGCTGTAAATCTGTGCCAATCTGCAATCTACTGCAGTTCCTTTAATTTAGGATTGTTCTTAGGTTTCTGCTTGGAGAACTGAATTTTGGAATTGCCAGTCATTGCCTTAAAAACATGATCCAAGTATTGTTCAGGTACAGGAAAATAGAAGTCTTACCTGGTCTTCACCTTTGTGCCACTTTTACATGGATTTAAACTTAACCACATAAAATAAAGCAAGATTAATATCTGAATACTCTACAGAAGAGTCTTTATTGTTTCAGCATGGGCCTAGTTGCAAATCATGCTTTCTGTGTCAGCTGATACAATAGAATTTTTAAAGTGGCCTGTAAAATAATACATTCCAGTTTTTTAATCTAGATGTGAAAGAGATGTAATTTAAGATTCTTCACATGGCATTCTGTTGGAGAAGTTAAAATGAAAAATTTGTCACAATAATACTGATGACATTTATGTACCTAATCCTATTTGGTCGGCTAAGAATCAGTCTCTTTAAGTAGGGTCCTATCCAATTGATGCACCAGAATGAAAGAAAACATCACTTGCATTTTAAATCAAGGTGCAATTGAATTTTTAATCCATACCTCTTAAAAAGCTCCTAGTTTAAAACAAAACCAAACCCAAACTATCTGTGAAATTTGGAGCTGAAGTTTGTATAGTGCTATTTGAACTGTACAACTGCCTGAAAGGAGGTGGTAGTGAAGTGGGTGTTGGAATCTTCTTCCAAATAACCAATGATAAAACAAGAAGAAATGACCTCAAGTTGTGCCAGGGGAGGTTTAGATTGGATATTATGAAAAAAGTATTTGCTGAGAGAGTGGTCAAGCATTGGAACAGGCTGCCCAGGGAAGTGTTGGAATTAGTCCCTGGAGGTGTTAAAAAACCATGTAGACGTGGCACTTTGTGTCATGGTTTAGTTGGTATGGTGTTGTTAGATTGATGGTTGGACTTGATCTTAGAGGTCTTTTCTAACCTTGGTTATTCTGTGATTCTATTCTCTGAACCAACGTGGATGGTATAATAGTAAAAACTATTTTTCCTTTGCTTGCATCAAGTTTTTCTCCTTGCACACTTTAAAGGTGAAAATTTTAGGACAGAACTTTTGCAAGACCTTGCTTTCTAATTTATTTACTTATTTTTTTCTTGTTGACTCTCATGCTGTGGTGTGTTGATCTTGGGTGGCCACAAGGTGCCCATCAAGCTGCCCTCTCACTCCCCCTTATCAGGATGGAGGGAGAAAATGTGATTAAGAAGCTTGTTAGCAAAGATAAAAACAGGGACGTAACTTGCTAGTTACAGTTGTGGGCAAACCAGACTTGACTTGGGGGAGGATAACCTGATTTATGGTCCATTTATAATAGAGTAAGACAGTGATAAATAGAAGTAAAACTACTTACACCCCTTCTTTCCAGGCTCAATTTTGCTTCTGTCTCTTCTATCACCTCTCCCTGAGAGGAATGGGGAATGAAGTTTTCAGTTCATAACACTTCACCTCTGCCATTTCTTCCTCCTCATGCTGTTCCCCTGCTCCATTTTGGGGTCCCTTCCCTGCAGATACAGGGCATACAGTCCTTCACAAACTTCAATGTGGGTCCTTCCCATGGACTACATTTCTTCAAGAACTGCTCCAGCATGGGCCCTTCCCCCTACAGTCCTTTAGGCATGGACTGCTCCAGTGTGGGACCCCGACAGTGTCACAGCTCTTCCCAGAAAACCTTCTGTGTGGGCTCCTCTCCATTAGTCACAGCTCCTGCCAGGAGCCTGCTCCAGCATAGGCTTGCCACAGGCTCCAAGTTCCTCCAGGGCATCTCTGCCTGCTCTGGTGTGAGGTCCTCTACAGGCTACCGCGTGATTGTCTTTTCTACCATGATTATACATGGAGTCCAGGGGACAACATTCTTTATCATGGTCCTTTCTGTGGGCTGCTGGGTAGTCTCTGCTGGAGTGCCTTGATCACTTCCTCTCCCTCCCTCCTTTTTCACTGCCCTCAGTGTCTGCAGGGTTGTTTCTCTCACATTTTTCTCACTCCTCTCTTTCTCTCATCTGGTTTTCACATGGGTGCCATCAGCATTGCTGATGGGCTCAGCTTTGGGCAGTGGCAGGTTTGTTTTGAAGCCAGCTGAAACTGGCTGTCAGAAATGGGAGCAGCTTCTGATCTCTTCTCATAGGGATCCCTGCAGCCTCTGCTGCCAAAACTGCCATGTAAACCCAATATGCATGCACTCTTCTAATAAAAAGTGGTATTGAGTCAAGCCTCATCCTCTTTCCCAGTATCCTCCATGGAGGGAAATACTTACATCTTTGTATTAGCATTGTGTAATAGTTGTTTGTATAAAATTTCCTTTTTCTTTATAAATCTGTAGTACAGATGCTATTTTAATAGAAATTAAGTGAAAAAAATGCAACTTCTTATTAGCGTTATCTGGCTGTTAAGTAACAGTACTTTAAAAAATCAGCATAATTTATTCATTTTGTATATACTTAAATGCAAAATTCCTCTAGAATAAAGAAATCCTTACCCAGAAATATAATGTATTGCCATCTGTTGTTCTAGAAGGTGTTTCATGGGGTTTCTTTAGATAGTAGCTCAAGTTACCTATATATAGGGGTTTGATTTGTATTTGATTAAAGCCAGTTTTTTTCACTTACTCCATAAGTGTTCAAGATTTTCTGTGGAGTTTATCAGTTAGGTGCACAATTCCTGTTATATCTATAGATGCTTGAATGTCCACGTTTGAAATTAGATGGGTGTTAACTTTTATTTTCTCCTGTAGTGTGGCACGAAAGGAAGGTGAAAACTGAAATTCTATCTGAAATTTCCTTGGATTTTATTTTGTGGATATTCTCTAGAAATGCTATCTTCTTGACATTGGTAGTGATTTTCCATATTTCTCTACTCTGATTTAGTTTTTTAAAACTGAATTTTCTCATGAAATTAATATAAAAGCCTAGCCAAAGCTACTCAAGTGGTGCCAAATTAAATTCACCTAAGGAAGAAGCACTTTGTACACAAGGATGTTAAAAGAATACCTTCTCATTTATACTCCCAAAGACATGTACAGTTATTCTACAAGTCCTGATGTTGGAAGCTAGCAGCTAGAATGATACCTGGTTTGGGTTCTACAGGTATACATCTGGTATTCTGTACTTCTTGGCTGGTTTTCCCTGACCAGCCACCACTGCAGACACTCTAGGATTAAGATGAACTGGGCTTCATCAGGTCATGCAGTAGTGAGTAGGAGCATGTGTGAAGCAGAGTAGTAGTCTTAACTGGTAGGGCTCTGTGAAGATGTTTTGTGAAAATTTGTTCCAATTGTAGCATAAAATGTATGATTTTTTCATATACAAAGAATTAGGGTAGGACATAACCCTTGGAGGCTGTCATGACCATGAATTCAGTTAATACATCTGTTTCTGTGTTTATTTCCCATACCCATTAACATGTTTTGTTCCTTTGCAATTTACAGCGCAGAACTCTGCAAATGCAGGTTTTGCAAACTTTGATGCATTTGGACAGTCTAGTGGCTCGAGTAATTTTGGAGGTTTCCCCACAGCAAGACAGTCATTTCAGCCCCAAAATACAGGTAGAACTCCCAGCACTTTGAATTAATACTTAATTGAAATAATCCTTGCCTTTATGTTGGAAGGAACTTAAGTTGAGTTTATTTCTTGCATCTGCCTGCTTTAATGCAACCAAGCCATCTGAAGCTCTGGGGAAACTCAAAATGAATTCCTTGTTTGGTGTTTATTTTCTTTTTTTTTTTTTCCTAATGCTGCTCAGAAGTCTGATTTATGGCACTATGTGTTTGTTAGCTCTACACCTGAAATAACTATGAAAAGAGTAAATTATTCTGCTTTTGATAAATATTGATTATTGTAAAAGACATTTCAGTAAGCACAGAAGCACATCACAGTACCAAAAAAAGTCTGTATGAATAACACTGACTTCATGTGTAGAGTCTATTGCTAAGATTTATTTTGCTTTCCTTTAATTTGATCATGCTTTAGAACTTCTGCTTGAGCTTACACTTACTGTTTGTCTAGATTTTTGGCTGACTGACTTTCTTTTCCTTTTTTTTTTTTTTTCTTTTGAGTGTGGTGTCGTTTTAAACTTTTTTTCAAATTTTCTTTCTTCCTTCTTATGTTAACTTTAACCCACACACAATTTCTGGCTGTCCAGCGTTCAGAACGCTTTCATCTAGCTGCAGTTTTGGTGAATTTACTTCAGCTTTTCCTCTCCAGGCTGTACACAGTAAGTTCCACACAGTGGAGAACTCAGCTTGCTTCATTTTATGCCATTGTAGTATAGCACTTTCATTCCTACTGTTCCATATGTTTTAACTAATTGATTGTGCCAGTAGAAAGTTGTGTGTTCTGTAGTGTAAGTGGAATCCTCAACCAACTGTAATAAAATGTGACATATTTAATGAAACAGCTCATTTTAGTTTAAGTACATGACCTGCGTAGATTAAATTGTCTGGACACTGAAGAGATGAAAGCTCATGGTTTTGTATTTGAACTGAAATTCAATTGTGTGGACCTAAGTCAGATTTTCAAAATTGATTTATGTATCTCTGACATCAGTGGAGACTTCGTATGAAAATAACTGTGTTGTGTCTTCCCTCTCATGACTTTCCTGATTGGATATATATTCTAAAAATACAAAACAGAGAACCAAACTGTGGCATGAAATCAGACTTACTTTTGGACTTTGGACTGTGTTTTGCTTAGAACAGTGACTGACATCTGAAAGGGTTAAACATCATCCCATTAAGTCAATGCACATAGCTGTTCTTCATTAGAAAATGAAGCTTCTGTGTTTTGAATATTAAAGATTCAGACAAATACTTATTTTCCTAGGAAAATATTATTGTTGAAATTATTTTAACAGCTGGTCAATGGCATATAGTTTTCCAAGATTAAATTAGGACTGATTTAAGCTGTTGAAGTTTGGGGTTTCTTTGGCCCATGATCTGCAAACTGGAAAATACAAACAAATTTCACATCTTAAACATGTGGGATGGGGCAGGGAAACATATTGCCTCACATAACTAAAAGAGGTGGGATTATTGTGCCATCAGTTGCAGCTGGAGAGATTTTCTCTAGCTTTGGAGGGTTGATCATGTTTAACTTAATTTGTTGCAGGTGGAAGTGCTGGATCAGTGAATGCTAACTTTGCTCACTTTGATAACTTCCCTAAATCCTCCAGTGCTGATTTTGGAGCCTTCAATGCTTCTCAGAGCAACCCAACAGCAACCGCAGCCAGTAAAGCTGCAGTGAATAAACCGAATCTCCAGTCTGCTGACAAATATGCAGCTCTTGCTAATTTAGATAATATCTTCAGTGCAGGGCAAGGTATTAAACTTTATTTTTTGATGTGCGTATTCTACATGTGTATACTTCCATAGGGATGTCTGTGCTTGTCAAAATAGTAACTGTCTTTCAAAATGTCCTTTAAGTTACCAGTGGAATTTAATGTCAGTGTACCCTTAATGTGCAAGGTCTAACATCACTCCAAAAGGATGTTGTCAGAAAACTGCTTTTTGGGAAGCTACTTTCTGTTGAGATGAATGAGCAACCTAATTTGCTTTGTAATGTGGAGATATGTTCTAAAATGGATTATTTGAGGGTATGTGTTTCATTAAATTTCGTAGTTGAAGGTAACTGTGGTACTGAGTCGCTGTTTTCCAGGGAAACCAGTGGCTCTTTGGAGCTGCAGAGTACCTGTAGAAGTAGGATACTTTGCTAATAGCTAATGATTACCAGACTTTTTTTTTACTGTGTCCCCTGGTGCATGTGTAATTTTTAAGTCTGAAACTTGATCTGCCCATAAACTTTTCTTCTAGTTAGCAGTGTTGTCAGGGCAGAAAGTGAAGCCATCTTCATCCCTTTTAATCTGGTTTCTTTCTTTCTAGGTGGTAGTGAGCAAGGAAGTGGCTTTAGTACGGTAGTGTCAGCATCAGCAGGTCCTGTGCTGTCAGCCCCAAATCAGTCAAGTGCATCTTCAGACAAGTACGCGGCTCTCGCAGAACTAGACAGTGTGTTCAGCTCCACAGCAACCTCCAGCAACGCATACACTTCCACCAGTAACGTCAGCAGGTACTTTGCTAGAAGTAGCTGCCTTTCTACTTTCACTTCAGCAGTATGCAGAGAAGTTCAGAGTTGTTTCTCCAATCTGATTTTATTTCTTAACTAAATGAGGAAATGTTAAATGAGTTTAGAGGGACTACTGAAGCCGCATTCTTTAAGTAATAGCAGTATTGATGGGATATTACAAGATAAAATTATCTCTGCACCTTTCTAGTAATTACGTGCTAAACCTTTTAGATGCTAATGCTTTCCTGTACAGAATATTTGCGTGCATACTGAAAATCACAGCATCATCCCTGGCAAAAAAAAAAATCAAATATTTATAATGTAAATGTTGCCAGCCACTTATTTTTTTTTTTAGACTGTTAAGGTAAATATCAAATACCTTTTATAGCTCTGCTTGGTACTGCAAGTGCCACTAAAGCTTCTGTTTTGCAGCCTTTATGTTGAGGGCCTCTGTTCAGGATTCTTTCTCCTGCTGTTGATGAAGTTGACTTTTCATTGCTCAGCCCTAGTTATAGTCTCTGCCCCTGGCATCAGAGACTCAGTTCCTGGCATCAGTGAATTATGCTGCAGTTTGCAAACTGCATGTAAACATTCTTTTTCTGTTCTTTTACATGCCAACAAGAATTGTACTTCTATTGAATTGTTAAGCAGTTTTGACTGCACATAATATATTAATTATTTTCAGCAATGCTTTTGGAACAGTACCCGTGGCTGCTACTGCACAAACACAGCCTGCATCGTCGAGCGTGCCTGCTCCTTTTGGAGGTATATATGTATTACTAACACCTTTTGTGGACTGTAAGTAAGCATCTTGCTAATTTCTAGTTGATAGTGCTATACTTTGACTCTAGTGATAGTGAAGTTACTAAAGGATGCCAAAAAAGTACTCTTGCGAACCATTGCAAATTAAGCTTTTTATTATAAATTTCTAATTTTCCTGTAATTTTAAAAATTCATGCATCTCCATAAAAGCTGTATAAACTTAATGGGAGTCAGTTTGGCTATTTTAAAAATACTTTATTAAGTAAAATGTTTTTAATCTTTCAGCAACACCTTCCACAAATCCATTTGTAGCTGCTCCTGTTGCCCCAGTGGCACCTTCAACAAATCCATTCCAGACCAATAGCCGAGGAGCAACAGGTTAGGAAAAAAACGCTGTGTTTATGAAACTTTCTTTCAAGACTTGCATTAATTCTTTTTTTCATAGCTGTGTAATTTGTTCCTTAAAGACTTTTCTGTATTATTTCTTTCTAGTCTATTTGATGTGTTATGTCTGTGTTCAGTGTAGGGTACAATATTTATGAACAGGCTGCAGAAAACAGCTTCAACTGTTTGGTTATTATTGGGGTGAGAGCTTGTTTTTTTTGTTGCTGTCCCAGTCCTAGGATTTCAAGTGGTGGTCATGCAAAATGTCAGAATTATCTGTTTAATGTATTCTAATATGATCTAAGCTATTTGTAATCTGTGTATTACCAATTGGGTACCTTCCAAGACCTTGGCTTTGAAGCATGCTTCAGAGCAGGTTGCCCTGAAAATCAGGTATCTTGAAAACCCTGCTGCTAAGCTGGTAGGTATTTACTTTTATTAGTTTCTTTATTTCAAATAAAGTCCTGAAAGCCCTCGCATCCATAGATTTGGGGCTAGAAGCAGGAAAGACAAAGCTTTTGGTCTGCTAGCTCCTCACCAGTCCACTTAGTACATTGGTGGTGTGCATTATTTTTCTCTTTTCTAACAAAGTATGTGTTAAAATATAACTTTTATACTCCTTAATTATGGTAATTTTCTGGGGTAGGATTCTGTAAAATCATTATTCCATGGACAAAAACCTAATGACTTTTTTAAAAAGTAAGCTTGTATTTAAATACTGATCTTGGATTTTAATTATTGATAGATTATGCTAATTTTCTTCTCCAAAGTCACTGCTAAACTTTGTCACTTTTATCTGTTAACTGGACTTCTACAGATTTAAATTTGCTGTTGTATGCATTTTATCATTGAGTTGTGCTTTGCTTGAAGTTTTAGGTAGGTTGAATTAAATTCATCAGGCTGAGTCAAAAATGAATTGATGAATTCATGTCCTCTGCTAAAATTATTTGTTTTCAGTCCCTTTTGAGGTATTATGCAGTTAAACTTGTTTTATTTAATGCCCCAAATACTTTTTTCCTTCTTATAATCTCATTCCTAAGGGTGCTGTTCTGGATCATCATTAAGAACTTCTAGCCTCTTTAGATAAATTTGACTATAGCAGCTTTGTCCTTCCACCTTCTAAACAGCTCTCTGTGACTTGCAAAGGTTCAACACTTTGGCAGCTATCCTGATGTTAGATACTAGGTGACAGAGATAATGACTATAAATTAAGATAATATTCTACCCCTTTCAGTGGAAGGTGTAAACTTGCAGCTTGTCATTTTCTGCTAACCTCTCTTTCTGTATGAACTTCGTCATTTGTTACGTGGGAGAACTGTTTTATAGCATTTATTTCTAATGGTTTTCTTAGCTTAATCTATTGCTGGTCATGCTAAGGATTAATTGTTTGGTGCATATACATGTTTATATTTATATATATGAAAATAAGAAATTACTGTTCAAGAGTGTGTAAATGATTTGACATTGTCTGGTCTCTTTGTGGCTTCCATAAGGCCTCTCAGGAGCAATGCACTCTCACATATTTCCTCAGGCTCATTTTGGTAGGTGGCCACATTTGATATCAAGTTTCTTGTGGCTAACTGTTCTTGCTTGTAAGAGCTTATTGATAGCTATCTGGTTCTCTGCATGTAGAATTTCAGAAGACTTCCGTTTTTAAAAATGGAGTGGGTGTGGATATTTGGCAACTGGGCGAAGGGAAAGAAGAGCATACATAGCCAACCTATTGAGCAACTGAAACAAAACCATTATTGATATCCTAACCATGCTAACAAGTTGAGTCACTCTTGAAGTTTCTACCAACAGTAGCTTGATTCCTTTTGAGATACCCCAAGTCACTGCTCATTTTGTTTGCTGTTTCAGCAAGTTGTCCTGTTGAATAGCTTCTCGAGCTGTAACGTGAGAACAGCGTTGATGCGTTAGTTTCCCCATACTGTGTCAACAGCTTGTGTGTGTAATGTCTTGCCCTTCAATACTTCAGGGTAAATTATTCAACTGATAATTAAACTATATTCTTAAGTGTGTATTTTAAAAAAATATAGCTTGCATAAAATCTAACTTGTAACATTGCAAAAGAAAAGTCCTGTCTTAATGTTTAACTAGAATAAAATGCCTAGTGTCTGTACAAAAAAAAGTTCTATATGCTTCTTTCAGTAATAACTCCCAAAAGACTGAATAATGGTTTTGTTATTACATTTTTGCACTTAATGTGCTCCTGTGTATTTGCTGAGGACATGTGGAATTGCATATGAGCTGTGTGTTCTTTACTTGAAATGTTCAGCAGAGAATCAGATGAAAAGTTTTGGGTTTTTTTGTTGTAAGTCAAACCTCAAGAGCAAGAGCGTTTGCAATAGGAACTTTGTGTGCAAATAATGTGCATGGTGAGAATTTACTTTAAAGTGACATTAAGGATGAGATGAAGAGAGAGGGGATGCATGTATCCCTTATGATGCTTTGTTTTACTTGTAATTTCCTGTAATGCAGTTTGAACTAGGAAGATCCTTTCCTGCTTTTCTCAGAATGAGAAAAACAGAGGAGCTTTTGCTGCCTGAAAGTGCTTGCTTCTGATGTGTACAGGAGAACTCTGGGGGAAATACACCATAACTTAAAAAAATAATTTCCTTTTCAGAGAGTATATCTGAATGTGCCGGAACTAGTAAATTTTAAATTATCCCATTAAGTTTTAAAGTGCAAAAAGTTTTGCGCCTAGCTGGTCATGCTCCAAGCTAACAGATCAGTTCAGTGGCTGTGAAAATTGAACCTAACTTCTGTATGGTCACTGAGGCAATAGGAGATTTTTCTTAACATGGCATTGCAGTAGTTTGTCTCATGAAAAAAGCGATTTCTTAGAAATAATTTAATTGGTTTTTTTGCCTACCAGCAGCAACATTTGGTACTGCATCAATGAGCATGCCTGCAGGATTTGGAACGCCTGCCTCCTACAGTCTTCCTACTAGTTATAGTGGCAACTTCCAGCAGCCTACGTTCCCAACCCAGGCAGCTTTCCCTCAACAGACTGCTTTTGCTCAGCAGCCAAATGGTAGGTGTATACCTTTTAGATATTCTTGTTTAAATCAGACATGTAGAGAGAAGTATCTGCCTTTAAGTTAGCAATAATGGACTTGTATTCATTTCTATATGAAATTGATAATATTGATGAGAGGTTCCCACACTCTGTTTTGGCTCTGTAGTTGAACTTTGTCATTTGGCTGTGTGCGGTGACACAGCTGAAATTTTACCATAATCTGATGCTAAAAGGCTTTATAGTCTTAAAGGGTTTATATGCAAGAAGGATTATTTTGTCTTCATTTTTTAAGCGTCTGCAACAGATTGTAATGCTTTTTCTAACTTCATAGAACACAGGCAAAATAAAATCAGAAAGTACTTTCTCCCTAATTTAAATTATAAAATAGCATTGAAAAAAGTGTATATGTAGAAATTGGAAATTGATTTGTTCCAAACAGTTGGAAAAAAATCTCAAAAATGCCCAGCCATGTTGTTTGTTTTTTTTTTACATTTTCTTAAATATGATCAGGAATGTAAGATCAGCCCTCCTGATTGTGCAGTGCAAGCTTCCAATTATTTGTGTGTGGGAGCTGCTGCAATGAGCTCTCTGAAGATTGGTTATTGCTATTAATATTTTTCACTTATCTTCCCAAGGAGCAGGGTTTGCTGCATTTGGACAGGCAAAGCCTGTAGTAACTCCTTTTGGACAAGTTGCAGCTGTTGGAGTATCTAGTAACCCTTTTATGGTAAGTGAGTTGTTGCATGATATGAATGCCTTCCTTACCTCTGAAGAGGCATAATCCATGACACTTTATTTAGAGACACACAAAGATATTTCTTTTGCTTCAAAAGGGAAGGCAGCATGTGAATCTTCTAAATGCAATTCATTATTATGATGTCATGGCATTTGTAAGGCTGTTCAAATCAAAACAGAGGTACTTGTATACCATGCTCTTACAGTAGTGTAACTTCAGAGAATCACCAAAAAAAGACTAACGTAAACCAGAAACATTTCCTAATAGGTTATTTTCTTGTTTTGTATATTCTGCATTTATGATTTGCAATATATAGAGAAAATAATCTTAAATGTTGTCTTATTTTTCTTTCATTTTCCCCCAGGCTGGTGCACCAACAGGACAATTTCCTACAGGAAGCTCATCAACCAATCCTTTCTTATAGCCTTATAGACACTTTACCCAAAAGAACTCTTACGTGGTCACATAACATCTCTGCGCCTCTTGCACTGTTGTCTTGTTTCACTGATATTAGCTTTAAACACAAAAGAAGTCTTTAAGAAGTAAAAATAAAAGCCTGCATTGTGTACCTTTCAAAATTAAAAAACAACAACAAACAACAAGAAACCAAAACACAAACCCCAAGAAAATCAACCCCCCCATGAGGTAATAACGTGCAAAACAGAGGGCTGTGGTAACATCCTTGAACCTGTGAACTGGCAGGTAAAAAGTAGCGGTATCATGTATATTAAAATTGGCTAATAAGTTATTGCAGATACCACATTCATTATGCTGCAGTACTGTACATATTTTTCTTAGAAAATAGCTATTTGTGCATATCAGTATTTGTAACTTTAACACATCGTTATGTGAAAAATGTTACTGGGAAATAGATCAGCCACTTTAAGGTGCTGTTGTATCTCTTGGAATGAATGAGCTACATCATTTTAACCATTGGTATTGGAAGTCATGAAGTTAAATTGAAGGTTTGTTCATTTCTCAAACTGTTTTCCTTTCCTAAGAGCTCTTCTATTTATACATGCCTAAATCTCTAATGTTAGAGGGATACCTGTCTGCATAATAAAGCTGATCATGTTTTGCTACAGTTTGCAGGTGAAAAAAAAATAAATATTAGAAAAAAAATTGTGTAACATTATTTCTGTGGAGTAACATTTTATTGGGTTAAAATGTACATATTGTGAATCTCATACACAGATGAGTTATCAAAAGCAATATGCTTAAAGGTGAGTTAAACTTAGAATTTTCACATGCCTCACTTGAAGATGTATGTTTCTCTGTGTCCTTGTGATTAAGCTTTGCTGCTCTAGCTTAAGTGAAGTAACGTCTCAAACAGGAAAATGTTAAGTGAATGTGGATTGTTTTGACAGAATAGCTGTCTTGAAGGATACTGGAAGGACTGAGGAGATTAGTTACTCCAGAAATGGTTAGCTGCAAAAGACATGCAATTATGGGTAGCTAATGACAGTCTCTGAACAAGACTTAGTTGTGATCAGAAGAGAGTATGTGTAATAGCAGCCCAAGGTACCACAGGTATAATAGTATTCTTATTATTTTCAACATATATATATTAGTAAAACCTGTTGTGCAATATCAAGCAATTATTTTTTTGAATTTACTGGAATGTTTCCAGTCATTCTAGAATACAATTTGTAGAGGGGAAAGTGTCTGGCTTGTCTAATGAGAAGGTTCAAGAAAACTGCATCAAAGCAGTTGATGATGGTGTTTTAAACACAGGTTTAACTTGGGTTAAGTTCAAGTGTAATACTGAAGCTAAGCAAATAATGCAAATATATCATAATACATAAACTGCAAGCTTAACCTGTTTCTGACCAACTGGAGAATAAAATTTTTTACAGCTTTCAAGATAACTGGGATAAATAAATGGGATTCTGTTGAATGATTTTTGAAAAAAAAATAAAATGCTGAGCCCATTTGAGACAAATGTGAAAATTCTTGAAGGTAAGACATTTAATTTTAATTCATTTCTAGATGAGCTGAAAAACTTGACCACTGCTTGTAAAAATATACCAGTGCTTTTGACTTCCCTTGCCTGCCTATGGGCTAGTAGTAATTTCTGTACCTTCCATGTTTATTTTTTTGGAAGCTTTGGAGATCCTAAAGCAGGGGACAGGCAGCTTATCCAACAAACTGCTTATAGTATTGTGCGTTCCTCATTTAAATGTCTAGCTTTGTCCTGTTGCTGTATTTGAATTTAAAACAGACTTGAAGCCTGTTATTTCCTTCTGTTGAGGACTGCTGGCTAGAGTATGGTGTGTGGCTTAATGCCCAAGAGCCTCTGGGAAATTACTGAACAAAGCCCAGCAGTTGAGGGGTTCCTGGATGTTAGTGATGCCCTTGCTTGCAACAGCTTTTTAGCATAGCATAAATAGCTGTAGTTATTCCCTGGTGGTGACCTTACCTGTCTTGGGACAGTAACACATAAATGCAGTAGAGTCTGGGGAACTGCAAGGGTTCAGAAGGACTTGTAGAATGCTTTGAGATGCTTATTGCAGGAAACTGGACCAAATAACCATCAAAAAGATGAGAAACAGCGTTGTGGAAGAGAAACAGTCTTGTGCTCCCTTCACCTACACTGATGTAAATTAAGCTTTGGCAAAGGGCTAATGAGATTGACGTCTATTGAAATTGTGCAGTAATAAGATTTCATTTGGATCAGCAAAGAGATGCTGAAATTGATTTAAGTATACAAGGCATGTAGTTTTAGACCATTAAACCACACGTTTAGCGTATGTTCACTAATTTCAAGTTTGTCAAGCTTCACACAAGTGGCTGAAGATGTTGTATTGTTTTGAGTCTCCTTTATATCCAGCAGAATCTTCATTATTATGAATGTTTTGCTGTGGATATCTCTGCAGTTGTTCACACAGTTGCTCATTCAACTAGCATAGTTACCAAAAAGCTCTAGTTGACTAGCTTTCTGGTATCCTCTTCTGCTTTAGCATTAAAGCACTTCACTTGATAACTATAGCCCTCATATACAGAAATTTGGAGACCTGCTAGATTGATAACTTTTACTCCTAATACGTTAGCTCTTATGTGTGTAAGAAGATGCTGAAAGCGGTACATTCTGTGTTCTGTAAGGCAGATGTGATGCCCAGTTTTTGCAGTTCAATTATTTAATGGCTTCAAACCCCCAAGCACAGAGTTGAAACAAATGCTGAGGTAAGAAATTTTGAAAAATGACCAGATTTTGTTGGAATTCCTGAACTATAAATGTTTTGCAAGTATTCTGCTCTACTGAAGGGAAAGCTTACTTGCACATAAAGACAAGCTTAAGGAGCTTTTAAAAGGATATTTTAAGAAGGATTTGACTTTTACTTTCTTGTGAACTGAATTGGGGGAAACATTATTTGCTTCTGACACTCAGCAGATCTGTTATATTATGGTAAAGGAACAAAATGGAATTTGCTGTTGTTTTTTTATAGTGGATTCCAAAGTGGACAGTAGTGAACACAGTTGAAAGAATATGCCCTGATTAGCTTTACTTATATCTAAACTTTGTGGTGTGATTTAAGTAAGACTAATGTATAGAAATGGTGTTTCCCTATTCCTTAAAAATCTAGTTTAGGAGGTGTTTTTGCTTTCAGACAAAAGTTTGCCTGAAACAGCAGTTTCAGACAATGCATATGCTTATCAATTCAGACACAGAAGGAATGTTAGTGTATTTTATTCGTATCTCTTCAACCAATTCACAGTAAAGCTGGCACTGTATCAGTACCAGTTGATATATAGTGACATGCTTTCCTTACAGTCCTGTAACTTCAGATTTCTGAGGAGTGCATTGACTGTGTGGTTTCCAAAATGACTGCACTTGGCCATTTGTTAAACTAAAGTGGCAGTATTGCTATGCTAATAGCATTGTAGTAATCAGCCTTTGAACATACAGAAGTAGCGTCTTTTGGAAAAGAATTATTTTGTTATTAACTTGCTGTAAAAATGCATGTCACACCTTCCAGTTGACAAAGTCTTAAGTTTTTGAAAGGTTTCTGTGGCAAGCTTTCCAACAGATGATCTTGCTATGGGGCAACTGCTTCTTTAGATTCCCCAGGAATGTTTGAAGGTCTTGCGCCTATAGCTAAATTGCCTTTAATTGAAATACTCAATAGAAGTGAAAGTTCAAAGGGTGTATCATATAAGCTCTTCTGTTGTAAGGTTCAGGCATCTGTAGGCACTTTCTTGTTGTGTTTATTGAGCAATAGTAGAAGTTTTGGTGAGATTAAATTTGAGTTGGAATAGAAGATTATTTAAAGGTTGTTCAGTATTGAAATTACTGGTGAAGAGAACTGGTAAAATGCATCATCCTATTGACAAAGCTCTTTATGCTGTTGGCTTATAAACAGCCTGTTTCACCACTGACCAGTCTTGCTTGACTGAGCATTGTTTCTCCTCTTGCACTGTTCAGATGGTGCAGCAGCCTTTGCACTGTTGCTTGTAGCTGTTCTTTTTGTCTCCCTTGTTAGTGACCAGAGCTTTCAGCAGCCACACTGGTATTTCTGCAGCTGATGGAGATGATGGTGTATATGCTTCGGATCAGGAAGATTCCAGCTATGAATGTAAAGTAGCTGCCATAAATGAGAAACTGAGAAAGGGAGGTGGGGAAGAAGGAGGAGGGGAGAGTCACCTAACAGCAAAAGCAGTTTTTAAAAAGTGTCCCTTCACTGCTGCTTTCCCTTCCCTGTCACCCATGCCCCAGGATGATCCCATATTGAAAGGATTCAAGAAGTCTAGCTGCTTGGCTTTGTACAGTTGGAAATCTCTGGTTGTGAAAGGAGGGGAGAGAATATTCTGCTACAAAGTGCTTCCTCTCTCCACCTCGGTCAGGGAGGAGGACAGATGTCGTGCACTTTCTGACTTGTCTGAAAAGGTGAAAGCTAGAGACTTGGAGTTCATTCAGTATGTAAATTGAAACTTAAATTTAGAACTTTAATGGGGAATAATTAATTAGTTGATTTTAAAAATTACAGTAACTTGAAGATGCATCAAATTAAACTATGGAACTGAGAGCTGCCAAAGTGTATACTCATAGGTTGTCTTTCAGCTTGCTTCCTGGTTCTGTTTAGGGTATTTTGACAAACTTGAGAATAGTAAGCCTTTAAATAAGAAAAAAGCTTTTTTATTGCATGGGTGAGTAATAGGTGGTGGTCTTTCCCTTTTGCTCTGTGAAAGTATTAAAATTATTGCAGAGATGCAAAATTGAAAGGACTACAGAACAAGTAGGTTGTAGTAGCTACTTGCCAATTCCACTTTAAATGAGCCTGTTTTTCCAGTGAGTAACTGTCCGAAGCTAGCCCATTACCTAGCATCTTCCCAAAGGCTAATCTTGGAGTAGAACCCTCTTTTGGGGGAGAGTAGTGGAACTGAGAGCAGTGTGAGTAATGCAGCTTACCTGGGTGCTGATATCCAGTCCTAGACCTCTTGAATCTACTACAACAACAGTTAAAATTGTCTGAATTGCCAATGCAACAAAGTTGTTGAAGCCAAACATCAAAGCATAACGCTCCATGCTTAGATTGACAGCAATCTGAAACCTGGAAACAAATGGACAGGTTAACTAAACTATAGGGAACATGGACACCTGCATAGGATAAAGTCTCTCCAGTCTTGGCTATTAAACTATAACAGCTTCATTGTGGCAGAAATCCCATATTTTCCTGACTTTGGCACATTAGTACATCCTACTTCTCTCTTACTTGAGTGGTTATTTTTGCTGAACAAAGGCTTGTGTGTTCATTCGACCATTTAGATAATACTTGTACATAGATCATTGAACAGTTAAATGCAGAATAAGGTAGTTTCTGACTTGGAGTAATGTATTGTAATGGTTAGGTCATGTAATTTTAAGCATAGTTTTTTATAAGCTAGAAATAATTTGCAGCTGTTATGACCTGTTAACACAACTTATTTCTATGAAAGCTTTCAGTAAAATTTTGATAAATTTTAAAATGTGACACTTACTGATTTAAATCCATTTAGTTAGAACAGTTGTGTATTATACTTACGTTGCTATTGTTATAAGGAGCATATAGCATGCTTTAAATGCAAGGTAACCACCATAGCATGCCCAGATGTTGTCTGTAAAGTATATGAGAAACAGAGAACCA